GATTTAACATGACTTTTTCAACACACACACACACACACACACACACACACACACACACACACACACACACACACACGAATGTTTCCACTTGAAGACGCGTCTCTGTCAGTGACTCAGAGCTCAGATATGCAGCCTGCCCGTCTGCAGCACCAAATTTGGTCGTAACTCACTGTGAGTAATCAAATACCAACATTAAGATCAAAATGGGCGCAGTGGAGAGATTTAAGATTCATTTTGTTTATACTCACCAACCTCCTTCCTGATTATAAAACATGGGCAGGAGATTGTGTGTGTCAGGATGGTGCATTTGAACCCGAGGTAGAAGAAGTACTTAGATTTGTACTTAAGGAAAAGTAGTAATATTATGTAAGACAAATTAAATAAATGCATAAATAAAAACATAATAATAAATACTTTAAAATAATAAAATACATGAATAATAAAATAAATAAAATAAATAAAATAAATAAAATAAATAAAATAAATAAAATAGTAAATAGAGTAAAAAAAAAGTGAAGTAGAGGTATCATTAAATTGAACTTTGTACAATAAAAATAATAAAATGAAGGGCATCGGAGATTGTTTCAGAGGCAGAAAATCTTAAACAAGGCAAGATAAATAAAATGTCTAAACAGAACGAGGGGATTAAGTTCATATCTACTAATAAAAGCTATATATTGAACTACACGAGAAAGCTTATTTTCATATCCTTCTAAAATTTATATAAATAAGTGAATGTTCTTCATTATATTCCACCACAGAAGAAGCAGTCCTGTTCTTGAGTAAGTGGCGTGAGAAAGTACGCAGAAAGTCTCAGAAAGTGACTCATCATTCATGCTCAGCTTTAACCACTTATTTCTTCAGCAGTCTCTAAAAGCCGACACGCTGCAGCTGTACAGTTTAAAAGCAAATATTGACTGTATGTAAATCTTTTCTCTGCGCTCACTTTCTCTGATCTCTGAACAGCAAATATGGCCTGATGCAGCGGAGAGGATAACAGCTCCTTTATCAGGCCTGTGTCAACACATTATGTAAAAGTGTTTCTGCAGAAGGCAAGGGGTCACACAGGGGTCAAAGAAAATGAGAGCTGCTGTCGATGATAACATCTGTCTGAAAGAGCTGATCAGATTTAGAGTTATACACACTGTTTAAAAGAGGGGAGGATGAGCTTTGGAATGATATCTGTGTTGCTTTCCTTCTCAAATCATAAAGGAAAATATGTTACATAACTAGGGATGGGTACCGAGCCCCGGTATTAAACGGGCCCAGGGGCTGAATTATTAAAGACCGTGGTAACGTTAAGCTCCGACGTTATCGGCCTTTTTATCGGTACTGGAGACATTTAGAAAATATCTCATATGTATTATTGCTACATAAACATTATATCGCAGTTTTAGTTTCGCCAACTCCGTTTCTAATATGCAATAAGACTACAACATGCGTCTATGATGTATTTTCGAGCTTTCCAATCCAGACGAGATCTCTCTCTCCCGTCTGTGTGCGAGGGGGCGGGGCAGTTTGTAAAGGTGACTGACTGTGTTACAGACTGTCATCCTGGTTAGTGGTTACTCTGGGTTCTGTCTTCAGGACAGAGTGTTGGATTTTTTTGTTAATTGGATGGGACTTGATTGGATTCAATATTAGAGTAATTTTCTCGTTTGTTTAAATATATTTGGCCTTTGTTCATGTGATTGACTGATTTACTCAAATAAAAAGGTTGATGAATTATCATCTAATGATTTGTATGATGTTTTATTTATGTTAAAGCTCACTTTGAATGATTCTAGCTAATGATAATGTAGAAAAACTAATATTTTAAATTTCGGGACGGTCCACATTAATTTCGGGACGGCTTAGATTGTATTTCGGGACGGTTCCGGGAGGATGGTGAAAAAAGTTAGTCGAGAGCCCTGGTTTTGCAAAATAAACACTACACTACTAGTATGTGTTTTGTACACAGTGGTCTCTACAGGCATGCAGGAGGGCTCTTACCT